AGAAAGTGGAAGGAATTGGCTGTTACAATGAACAGAGACAGCAAGTAGAAAAATTTGTATATACTTATATAGGGTTAAGTATACAGTAACTGTGGACATTCTTAATGTAGGCTATGCACCAGTTCCATTCAATAACACAAATTCCAGGGGCAGTCATCTAGTTGAAGTATGCAACAAACCGCTCTCTAATAGCATAGCTAACATTTGCCACCCTTGGGAGACGTAAAGGTTGGATAGGGAATATTTCTCCCCATAATGGCTCCACTCGTAGCAGTTCTTCCCTGCACTTTTCATCACAGTTTTTGAGACGCAGAAAATTATGAAGCAAACACGCTGCTGATACAATGTTGTTTTATATTTCCTTTTTTCAGTTCTATGGGTATCAAAAAACTCCTCCACTTCATGGCAAGAATACCAAAACAGTTTTCGACCACTCTCCGTGCACAACACAAATTGTAACTGTATTTCTCTTTCCGTATATCATGTTTGGATTGCATGTACGGAAAAGGTCTCATTAAATATGGTTTCAGTCCAAACGCTTTGTCTCCAATGATGTGTGGCATAGGTTCTGTTTGCCTTGAAAGTGGTAGGTCCTCCAGAAGATCAGAATCATCATTCATGAATTTCCTACCAATCTGAGACTCCTCGAAGATTCCTCCATCACTGTTCCTTCCATAGGCTCCAATATCAACGCAAAGGAATTTGTATTCTGGTGCCACAATAGCCAATAGTACAACAGAATGTCGTTCCAAGTAATCATAATACGAAGATCCAGCGTTATCAGGGCACTTAATGAAAACATGTTTCCATCCATGGAACCTAAGCAATTTGGAAAACCCCACCTTTCTTTGCAACTCGTGCACAATTCTCCCACACGTTTCTTGATGGTCGTGGCATGTGTTGAGATCTCATATTATTCCAGATGGCGAGACATATTTCCAGAACAATTTTGCCTACCATTGAAGAGCTGACTCTAAAGTCCAATTTTAGAAAATGTGTCTCCAGTCGCCATATACCTATAAACACATAAGAACAGCCATTAGTAGCCTTTTAGTTGCTCTCTAATACTATAATGCTTACAAAATTAACAGAATTTTCGTTTTTTCTTCTCAGCTGAAGCACTTAAAGGACAGTGGAAAAATATAAAAGACTCATACAGTCGTCATTTGAAGTCAAAGAAGACTCACACCGGGCAGGCCACACAAAAATATCAGCACTGGCAATGGGGGAAGCATATGACATTTTTGAAACCCCACTTCACTTTCATAAAAACGAACACTAAAATGTAAAGCGTAGTGCTTCACTACCCGAGGAAAGTGCAGAGAGGCAGGAACAGCAACCTTATGATAAAACAGAGGGACCCAACTTGCCTGATATCTCACCCACTAGTGAGCTAGTAGCTACCAGCCCTGCTGTTGTTATTGCCAGCACCGCAGACACACCACCCGTGGACAAGACGCGTGGAAAACCTACAGAGATACACCTAAATACTAGTGAACTGGAAACATTCAGCTCAATCCTACAAAAAGGTCAAGAAACATAAACCAGTCTACTTCAACCGTTGACAGGGTTCTGAACTATTTACAAAGCAGAACAGATGTTGATGCTGTGGTTCACATTTTCCTTTCTTGGGCGAAAAAAACTTTCTCACCTCGCTGGCTCTTGCAAAAAAATGAAAATATCAAATATTATCATGCAGCAGGAAGCAGAGGAGCTAGACGAGGCTATGATGAATCATGCACCATCATCATGTTCATCAGAACCCTCAGCAACCACCTCAAGGGCACCACCACCTACACCAGAAAATATCTCCATTTCTCCACATTACAACACTTTTCGGCCTCAAAGACCTCAAGCTATTCCTCTTGAAACCATGAAACCACAGAACAAAATTTGACTCGAGAGAATGGAGGCTTGCAATCTTTTTTCAATACGTTGTAAAATCTCAAGAATCAAAACTTTAAACTGCGTTTATTTACATGTTTAAAATACGAGAAAGGCAGAAAGAAAATGGATTTAAGTTGTATAACCTTAACGAAATAAGCAAATAAAAGAAATATGCGATTACTAAATGAGTTTTAGCCTATATTACCTTCTTACCTTAACATGATTGCCAGTCGCTCCTCTGGAGAAATAGGCCTCTGCCAGTTGGTATATTGTTTAGTGATACCTTGCCTGATGGCTCTCAGGATTTCATCAAACCTGTCAATATTCATCCTGAAATATATGTAGAACCCTTTTTCGTCCTTCAGGAGTTGGGGTATCAATGTATAAAACTCCCTCAGTTCCCCTCTTGACAAGTTTATATCATGAACCCAAGTGATTCATCTCTTTCGCCTAAAATAGGAACACACACAGCAACCACTTATATATACTTAATTAGAGACTCGTTATGGAATTGTAAATATTTGTACATATATGTGCCATAGTGAATATGTGGAGGAAAAGAACTATGCAGATTTAGTGTTCAGTAAAATACTTACCGGAATTCACCTTCCTCTTCATCAAGAGTGACACTTAAAAGCAAAACTTCCTCCTCCAAAGACGGATCCATGACTGTTTACCGCTGCGATACAGCGCGGTCTACCGAGTGCACTTGGTAGACCGAAATACCGAGGTGATATACCGACTGCGATAATATCACCTTCCTCGGATTCCCGTGCCAGTGTGCACACCTCCATTTACCGCAATGTAATTAGATATTGTCCCGTACCGTACCGAGCTGAGTATCGCGTCTGTGTGTGGGGGCCTTAATTCCATTATCAATATTAATTTCGTGCAAACTCTCATTCCCAATCATGGGTTTGAAAATGTCTCCCCTCCCTATTTTGGCACTGAAATCTCCTAATAAAATTTGCATATGGTACTTTGGGAATTTATTAAATACATGTTCTAGTACTTTGTAGAACCTGTCCTTTATACCATCAACTTTATCTTCTGTTGGGACATAAGCATTCAGAACGATGTCACACCAGCGACCTCTTAGTGTTATATATGACATCCTATCACTAATAAACTATACTCTCTTAAATGTTCACTGTCTCTGTCCGTGAGCAAGCCGGGCATTCATCCAGACTAGCAATATTCATGTGCAAAAATTCGGCCACTGGCCATAGCAATCACAGACTGGGCATCTCTTCACATTCCATGTAATGTAACGAGATGTCTTCATATCCCACTGTAACCATAATATATATGTACTTAGAATATACGATGCATGAGTACATTTTTCTTAATATCCCACACAAATGTTAGTAATACCATCTGTTATCACTCCCTGCAGTTAGCATTTGTATCCAAGACCAATAAGGGTCCCCCCTTCATGTAAATGTGTGTGCCTATTGCCATTGCTCAAAAGACAATTTTTTTTATTGCTAGTGGCATGGGACTAAGTCCCTTGTACTGCAGCCACTTCTGGCCTATTGTCCCAGCCACAGATGATAGGTGAGGGTGATTGCAGAGCAATTGGTGGAATGAAGATTGGCAGGGGAAACCGAAGTACACGGAGAAAACCTGCCCCAGTGCCACTTTGTCCACCACAAATCCCACTTGACCACACCTGGGATCGAACCCGGGCCACCATGGTGGGAAGCCAGCGACTAACCGCTTGAGCTATTGCGCGAAAAAGATGATTTGGTTATCAGCCTACTGTATTAGCATTCACATGTTAGGCATATTTCAATGTCAAATATAATGTAGTGTAATGGGCTATCTCTACATTCAAATTTAGTCATGATAAATGTGATTAAGATGTGTAATATTATTTGATACTCATCATGTCCCACACAATTATTAGAAATGTCATCTGTTATCATGGCCTGCATTCAGCACTTGTGTACAAGGCTCATAAGTAGCACATCCTCCAGACTTACAGAGTAGTACCAGGAAGGTCACTATCATGATGATTCTGTTGTTGCTGCCAACCCATTCATGACACAATCCCATTGTTGTCAATGCCTTCTATATGTAGGAAGCAATGGAGATATAAGTTGACCTGGATTTGAACTCCTCCGTACAGCAGCAAAATTAACAATTTTCCAATTTTTGTCTCTCCATAAGGAATACCTCTGGATTTACCAATTTTTTCTGTGGTACTCCCTTTGGGAGAAATAGGGTGGGACAGGCAGACAGGATTGGTGATTATTTTCATCCTGGTGACTCCCTTCATGTGCCACAGCATTATGCCAAGTGCTACACATTTGAAATTTCCCTGTAGTTCAGGAACTTTGAGAATATCCTGTGCATCACAAATGCAAGATACACAGATATATGAGTATACACATACATATTTACTTCTACCGTGTAAATAGTGCAGTTCAAATAGCATCAAACTTAAAGATCAACTGCATTTACATGTTATTATTAAGGTAGCCATCTAACACATCTACCTGATCCTACCAATCACTCAGAATATATATCACAAGAAACCCCTCTTTGAGGACAACAGAAAGGCACTGGGGACATGTAGCTCATGAATAAGTTGTTTCCTACTTGCTAATGACATATCTGCTTCCAGCAGTTTATATACTCAGACACACTAAGCATGTGTTTCCTATGAGTCAATATTTCCAGTAGTTTACAGCCTCATAAACTCTGAGTCTAATAAGATGACAATGTGGCCAAGCAACATAACAGCAACTATGTGATACAACATAAGTGAGAGATTTGAGATTCTCAAAACAGCGAGCATGAAGACAATTGTCTTCTAGAATATGAAACCTGTAGTCTGAAAGATACTGATGTTTTGGGGGAACTCAATGTCTCCATGTTCAGGTAGCTACAGGGAGTGGGATAAACAGGATAGGGACCCTGGGAGAACTGCAAGACAATCTGCAGCCATTAAACGGGCTTTTTAAGGGCAAACCTTTGTGTGTCTACACTTCAGATACAAAGGCCTTTGGAATCCATGTTCATATGAAATTCTTGACTTGCTTTTGGCAAAGGAATGTCTCCTCTTAGCATCACAACATAATTACAAACAATCTATCATTACCAACACATTACATTATTTTAAATTTATTAGGGTAGCACCAGATAACTTACAGAAGCCCTCCCTGTGGAGCTGTGCAGTTTCAAATGACGACAGTCCTTGCTTAGATGCATCCAAGTAGAGAAAAATCCTGGATTTTCAGTATCCAAGCGTCTGGAATTCTGATGCAACCATCAAATATTTCAAATAAAATGTACCACTTCTTTAAGTAACTTCAAAAACAAAACTGCAAGATGCACATATTCATCTAACTCACAGTAACTCTCCCAGTAACGACTAGCAATGATGCTGTTGACCTACTTCACACAAGTGCCATTACAGTCGCAGTGATGCCTGATTACAATATACAGTAGCTGAATTTCTCTTTGAACTGCAGCAGATCTGAAATCTTTCACACATTTATCTGCTATGTCTCCTATGAAGGCACACAAGCAAGAACTGAAGCAAAAACACAGTTGTCACTTTGAAACAGAAAATGTAAATATCATAAGCCTGGAAAAGGGTAAATCCAATTCCCAATACAAGCCAGATAACAGGGAGTTTACTGTACGTATATTAGTGTATTTTTTTTATTGCTAGTGGGGTGGGACTAAGTCCCTTGTACTGCGGCCACTTCTGGCCTGTTTTATCTTATATTACTGTAAGAGCTGAGGAGAATCAGTAAGTGTTTATGAACCATTCCAGTTCAAGTCCTTAAAATGGCCATCTCTATATATCAAACTGTACAGAGTGAAATACTGTAGCAACAATTTACATGTAGCTCTAAATAACAGAGATCTCCAACTGGTTCTTTTACTACAGTGGTCCAGTATTCAACAACACATAGGCTAAATACATACATATACATACAATGTACATAGTATGAAACAAAGATTAATTACCAGTTCCCAACAGTCAATCAAAAGTATCACCAGACTCACTATGACACTCCAGTTCCTCTTCATCACCACCAATTGCACGCCAGAATGCCATAACTACCTGCTCAGCACATGCCTTTCTCTGATCACTTGGAAGACCCTGAACACGTTCCTTCATACTGTGCAGCTGTTCAAACAAAGATGAAAATCCAGCCACCCCTCCACTCTCTCCCAATAACTCATCTATAAAGAAGAAATATCAACCCATTACATTTCATGAAGTTATATTGTATTTATCCATTGTACTTTATCATGAAAATAAAACAATTTCCTTTACTATGCACTTGTGTCTGAGATGTGAGTTCACTGCAATTAAAAATTTGAATGACTTTCAGAAACATACAGTCAAGTGATTCTGGCTATACATGGGGTTCAGACTAGTAATTGGATTTACTGGACTCTGAATAATGTTATTTACAAATAATCATACAGTTCACAAGCAATCACACTTGTAGCACACCCGTTTCACAATCTGCGACATATCATTCCAGCTTGGTTACAATACTGACGCCCTAGCACAGCCCCATGTCAATGACTCTGTTATAGACACAATGATAGGCTGTGGGCTAGGACAATGGGGACATTTCTGTTAGCTTGCAGGCTCTCTATATACTGGTTTACTGCAAACCAATGAGAAAACACCACCCCAAAACCTCAACTGTTGTGTGCATACATGGCTGCAGGGCACTAGTACCTGACGTTACAGACACATCTGGAACTTTCTATGGTTCCAAGATTCTGACATTCAGCCATCATGTCGCAACATCTTTCATTCAAGAAACACTGAGAAGACACTAGTCAGCTACATCTTTCTAGTTAGTTACAACTTACTGACTTAAGTTTTCACAGTCATTAAATATTGATGACAATTCTCTTCTTTGGTTGTTGCTCCATGCAGATGTGGGCTGATCTCTCAGAAGTGCATGCTGACTCCTGCAGAGCTGACCTTGGAGATGGAGGTAGAATGCACCTCTGAGAGATCAGCCCACATCTGCATGGTGTAACAACCTAAATACAATCAACAAGCTGCAGCTTCTACAAATAATCTTCATGTTCTTCATATCCACTGGAAACAAAACTGAAGAGTGGCACCAACTTTCTTATTCTGTGACAAGCTAGATGCTGGGTCAGTGATAATGCCCACAACTTAAAACTGAACATGTGATAATGTGCTGCCTGGTCGGGGGACTCTGACAGAAGAGTATGGAACAATGATGGAATATCAGCAGGAGAAAACTATGAACCTGCCCCAGTGCCACATGAACCTCACATGAAGTCATCTGAGACTGAACCCAGGCCTCCATGGTACATGTCTAAATGTCTGAGCTATGGCATGGCCTACTGGCATCAAGATGAAAAATATTTTTAACATCATCCAGGTGTAGAAGATTTTAAATCTCCTTATTCTACTCAGCTAATGACAAAATTTTAATTAATTAGTGTATCAGTATTATTATGCTTATAATTAATGTAATGTGGAACCCTGGTAATCCAAACCCATTTTAACCCAAAGTCCCAGTAATATGAACTGACTTACAGTACCAACACCACCCACCCACTCACTTGCACACACATGGCACCTCAAAAAATTACAAATTTAATCTAACTGCAATATTTTACTTCCTTGAAGTGAAAATGAATTCCTTTGAGACATGACATTTTGTGTCACTGGACGTGCCTCTCTAGGTGATGAAAGATGTGGCCTGGTTACTGCCTGGCACGTGGTGGAACGTCTATGGGTTCTGGTCATTGTTTATGTGTATGTATATTTACACACGTACATGCAAATACACATACAAATCTTTTGAATATATGATTTTAATAAAAGATTTAAAATTTTTATTTGAAATCCAGTAATCTGAATAATTCATTACTCTGAACAGACCAATGCTTTAATTAGTTGAAATTATCGCAATTTCATGATATTACTACTGAAAAGTGTAACATTTGGTCAGCTGGATTATGTGTATGTGTCCTTACAATAATGCAGCACAAAGATAATAAAAGTTAATCTTGCTCCTCATGAGAGTAACCCAAGAAGTACAACATTCGGTAATTTTTCATAATGATTAAGTATCAAAAATGTATTAAATCAACCAGTATAGTGTAACTGAAGAAGCCTTATATTTAAAATGTGCATTTTAAATGGATGCTTGGACTTAAAACCATTACTGAATGGTGGAACAAATGACAGGTGGGAGAACATATTAAAGAATATGCAACTCCTCCCCCAGTATTTCAAACATTCAGGAAATGTGCAATAAAGAATTAGGAATAATGTGCAGAACTTACCAATTCTGCCCTCAATGTCATCAATACTGGCTCCGGTATGAGCTGCATCATTTTCTTGTTCATTCTGTGCACCCAACTGAACATTCTGTAAATTCTGAACTAACCCAGATACTGGACATCTCTCGCCATCCACAGCTTCTCCACCATTCAACATGGACTGTACAGTTCTTGACAGTTGCTGTGGTCTGTCTGCAAAATTAATTTCAATATGCTATAGACGCTGGTTATATTTCACTTGTATTGTGCAAATGTCATCTACAATGAAAGTTACATTTGACAATTCCATAATTTTTATATTTTCTCTATGGCTCTACAGCCCTTTGCATCTTGACCGATTTTTCAGTTCCTTAATCCTATACAGTCAGTAAAACTCCTTGGATGGGGGATCAGCCTGTCACAAGACCGCTACCTACACACAAGAACAACACAAACACAGAATAAACACACACAGACATCCATGCCTCAAGTGGGATTTGAACCCACAATCCCAGTGCTCGAGCTGGCAAAGATGGTTCATGCCTTAGATTGTGTGGCCACTATGACCTGCTCATTCCATCATTAGCAACAACATCTGCAGAGCTCCCCTGATGTCACTGATATGAGGGCCAAGAATAGGCATGTTCCATACTTAACCATTAACATCTGTGGAGTGCCCCAGTTGTCCCACCCAATACACCTTCAGAGCACATATTGAGAATACATTGGGCCTCTGGTTTATGATAGTTTGATATACACTGATTTGATCATTCGCCAGTCTGAAACTTTTCTTGTAATTTCCTTTGTTTCCTGCCCAAATTCTGGAAAACTCTATACCATGCTCCTGATACTAAGGAAGGTACCTGCACAGAGCTACTGAGCATGTACTCATGGCAATGCCACATTTAACCCATCACTGTAAACCTTCATTCTCTATACAGGACACTGTATATTACAGCAATTTGTTGTGTACATTAATATTGTGTCTTAAAATTCTTTATATATTTGTTTTAAAATAAAAAATAAAAGTGAAACCATGTCTACTTGTAAGAGCGGAAGTGCAACTGCAAGTGAGAATATGACTATACAGATCCATAAGATTAGAATAAATGATGGAAGTTATTAGAAGAATGGAGAGTGAGAAATGGTATCCTACTGCTTGTAAAAGTAAAAAAGTAAAGCTTTCCCTGTAAGAGGCCGTGAAGGCCCATAGGGTTGTGAGACGTTGAGGGTCCCATATTATCTAGACAATCAGCTCATAGATGGCGGTAAGGATGCCAGCCTTACGCGCCGGCCGCGCTTTACTCACCAGGAAAATTACTTAAGTAATTCCTCATACTCATTTCTGTTAGAGGCTGAGCTGACTCCAGGGCCATAGTGCGGCTGGAAGGTTTAGGTCAATTGAAAAAATTCAAAGACATCATCGGGACTTGAACCTGCAACCTTCCTACTGCTTGTAGGGATTTAAATATGGCCCCACCACTGTAACAACAATGCTAGGGCATTCCTCTTGCCAGTAATGCATACATATTTATATTTTATTACAGAATAAATTGACATAAATCCATGTATATACTGTTCATGTTTGAAATATATACATGTTTTGTATTATTTTAAGAAAGTGTCTCAATTTTTGTATGCCTGGAATGCATCCCATTTAAATACATTCTAATTTTTCTTTCATTTATGCTAATTTGATACATATCAGCATTTCCAGGAACCTAACCCCAGTGTAGAACAAGGGTCTACTGCATTCCCATTCTATCAAGATACATTCTTTTTAATGGGATGACTCACACTCTACTTAAGACTGGTTGTTTAGCAAGCTCTATCATCCAAAACTTGACTTGTAATTATTGCTGGCATTATAAAACGCAACAGTACAATAAATATGTGCAGTTGCTTGATCCTTCACTCATCTAAACCCATAAAGATATTTCTATACTGTGTGTGAAGGATTGGACTGTTTGAAGCACATGGTCAAATGGACTCTGACTCCAGCATGGAAAGGGAGAAAGGTGTTAAGGTGTGTCTAACAGATACAGGTTGTTTGGATGGAAGGTACACTGAACTGCATCTTAACAAGTGTCCATAGGGTAGGCGTTCACAGCAGCAGCTTCAATCAACAGAACGTTTGTTAGTTTCTAAAAACTTGAAGTTTCTGCATCACTCTGTTTGCACACAAGAAATCACATCTTACTGATGTTTCCAAAGCATAATCAGTTTCATTTTCCTAGTGAAGGAGCCGGGATACCACAGTCAGTATAGTGACTGGCTATGGGCTGGATGACCCAGGGGTCAGATTTTAAGTCTCAGTAAGGTCAAGAATTTTCTCTTGTCCATGTTGCCCAGACTGGCTCTGGAGAAGACCCAACCTCCTTTCCAATGGGTACAGGGGGCTCATTCCCTGGGGCGTAGAGCTCTAATTAGTGCCAAGGTCAAGAAAATGTGGATCTATGAGTATACATCCACTCCCCCATACACCTTCATGCTGTAGGGCTTAATTAGTTAAGCACAGGGACAACATTACTGTTTTTACATTTTACTGGATGAAAATGGCATGAGACAATTTTCTCACTAAAGGGATGTGGTGACAGAGACATTGCAGCCGGAGCTCTAACATCCAAATTGTGGGCTGACATTGTGCAGACTGATGGGTCATTAATGGCACTACAAAGGACCTTCCCAGTCTGTTAGCACTGGTCTGCAAAGGACTCCTATACCCCACCTCAGGCCATGATTGGCTTTCTTCTTGGCTTGGTCCCTCAACCATTCGTATATAACCTATCCACATGCCCCCTATACTAACTTTGAACCTGAAGACTGGGGCAGCATGTTCCTAAACAAACTGGTAACCACCCACAAATCCACAAAATGTCACGACCCATAAAACCACTATCTAAATCTCCATCACTGAAAAGTTTGCATCTCCACAGAATTCCAGTCCTGCCTGAATGAATATGAATATAATTTGATCATATTATCATACAGAACTGTACTAAAAAACTTCTTAATGCATACTCCATTAAAAAGTAACACACGCTGGATATAATATCTAATGAACAATTATGAGCATACGGTATTGCTTTTGAATCTACTTCAAAACAAAATAAAGCAAATTTCCACAATTAATTTCTGAAGTGACCTCACTGAGAAGACCTCAAATATTTTAAATGGCTTTTCACAGAATACTGATATATGCATAAACCAACTACACCCAAATTTTCTTCCAGTAATGCCAAACATGTGCAAAAATGACAAATATTTCATATGTAAGCCACAGGAAAAAAAATCTTTCATTTATATTGTGATGTGTTCATATAGCATACAAAGTTTCTGAAACATTATTCTGGTTTATGCACAGTTCTTAGTTGGCCTGAGTAGCTGAATGTTTTGATGTCACCTGAAAATAAACCAGAATGGCTTTCTGAATCAATTGTAATACCAAATATGCATGTCTGTTTGTTATACAAAAGAAAATATGGCAGTTTAAAAAAAACAATGTGCAAGGAAATAAATGTAACAGAAATGATGCACAGCCAGTTGTGTGTTTTCAAGTTGAGGATAAGGACTGATGGCCAGTTCCAGTGTCTCGTGAATGTGGAATAAAACATCAGTGAAAAACAGAATTAAATGATTCTGTGAAAAACAGTTTAGTGGATTCATTACTTCAAAAGATTCTATTGGAAACGTTTCTTTCTACTAACACTGAATTGTCATTCCTCCAATGTTGCCTTCTAACCTCTTGCAAACTGACTCCTCATATGTGATCAAACCAGTATTTGGCCCTTAAGCAAGCACAGTCAATCCTCAAGCTAAGGCAAGTTGAGAAGATGACTAAAGTGCATTGCAGCCACAGGATGGTAATTATCAGCAGACAGTTGATAAGACACAATTTATGCAATTTATCAATTTAAATATAATGCATGGGAACAAGAAAATAGTTAATATTTGTAATACAACATTCCTTGGATTAACACATTTTCTTGGAAAATCCACAGAGATACAGTTGTACCCAAACTAAGTTCAGCTTGCTCCGTGATTAGAACAATTAAGCCATTCTTGTCCCAAGAACCACTGAAGATGGTATATTAATCCTATTTTCACTCTATCATGACTTATGGACTAATATTTTGGGGAAATTCTTATTATAGCAATATAATTTTTAGACTACAAAAAATAATTATTAAAATTATGGTGATCAGAGACAGAGACTCGTGTATTTATTTGTAATTACATTTCATAGATCCAGTTGTTACCCAGTAGGGCTGGATATAAATTTTGTCACATACAAAGTAGAATATGTAGAGAATATTTTAGAGAATTAAAAATATTACCACTACAATCTCAGGATATACTAGGTGGTTCAAATATGACCGGGACTGATTTTTTGTAAACAAGTCGCGCTGCGCAGCAGCTGTGCGACCTTGAGTGAAGCCACGACCTCCACCCTCCCTCCTGTTAGGGTTAGAACCTGTTCAGTCCTGTCTGGAAGTTGCTAGAGTGATGCGTGAACAGAAGGTACCACGGAGCGTGGAACAATGCATTGTGATCAAATTCCTCCACTGAAATTCACCACAGACTCCAAGAACAGTATGGGGAAGAGTGTCTCTCATGGACCCATGGTGTAAGTGCTTCAGAGAGGGCAGAGAGCATGTGGAGAATGAACCGCATGATCGTCAGCCGCGTCATCTGTCACCAAGCCAAACACTGATCGTGCAGATGCACTTATTCATGAGAATAGGCGCATCACTATCAAGGAACTTGGAGCAATGCAGTCCATCAGTGTTGGTAGTGTAGAAGACATCATTAAATACCACCTGCACTATTGCAAGGTGAATGCATGGCGGGTACCACGCACTTTGATGGACGTGAACAAAATGGCGCGCATGCAAGTTGCCAGTCGTCTCCTATAGCAGTTTGAAGACGAAGGTGATGCATTTTTGAAGCCTATAGTGACCACCGATGAAACATGTGTGCACTACTTCATTCCCGAGTCCCAGCAGTTATCACGCGAGTGGCGGCATACCAGTTCTCCCAAACCCATGAGCGCACGGAGGAGCCGTTTGGCAGGAAAAGTGATGGCAACGTTCTTCTGGGACTGGCAGGGGGTTATCCATGTAGACTTTCTGACAGATGCCAGAAAAGTCAATGCAGCTTATTACTCAGACCTCCTGGCAACAGACGCGAAGGAAAATATCCGATCCAAGCGGAAGAGAGGTGGAAAGCGGGTAGCCTTCCTTCAAGACAATGCACGCCCCTATACAGCCAAAACAACAATGGAAACCCTCCGGAAATTGAAATGGAACCTTCTGACACATCCGGCGTACAGTCCCGATTTGGCACAAAGTGATTTCTACCTGTTCGGAAGGCTCAAATCAGACTTGCAAGGCATGCAGTTTGTGGACAATGCCGCCGTCATCCAGAATGTTTGGGAGTGGATACGCCGCCAACCACAAAACTTTTTTGAAAAGGGCATCAGGATGCTACCAGAACGTTGGAAAAAATGTGTTGACTCCGGAGGGGAGTACGTTGAAGACTGACATGTGCAAGTAAGTGTTTGGCAATTTTGGTTAAAAAAAAATCAGTCATGGTCATATTTGAGCCACCTTGTATATTCACTTCTGTTGTTTGTGATCAATAATAAACATAATTCTAAGTAGATTATGAGATATATAATACTACGACCAAATTTGATTTCCATCATCCACCATCTCATTTGTCAGTTTATCAGAAGGGACATATTATACTGGGATTCAGTGTTTAACAGTTTACCTCTTCCAATAAAGGATTTGTCCCATAATACAAACAATTTATTGCCCTTGAAATTTTTTTTGTACTTCCATTCATTTTATACCTTAGATGAATATTTTAATACAAGATGAATTAAACCTTTTATAATGCTGTTTATATACTACATTGTACTATAAATTAATTTATTATATTCAGATGTATGTTTATATATTTAAGCTATGATTTCAGTCAAGTACTGCTGTCAAGTTGATGAGTCCCATATGCTTGTTAAATTACTGAATTATGTATAATTACTGTTTCTGTAGTTGTAAGGTGACTAGTTCTGTGCTTTGATCTAATGTATGCACATGTGACACATTCTATATCTGATGGCTTTGGTTGCGAGTAAGGATTTATGGAATGAAAATAAAGATACAGATACAGATACAGTTGCAAAATATACAATAAGAAACAAGAAGGATTCTTAAGATAGAAATCAGTATTTGAACATGGGAAGGTATGACATTATGAGAAATACAAATAAGCAAAACATATGGTACAAGAGATAAATTATGTAAATGCAGTGCCTCAAGCATTTACACTTATTTTGAGCAGCATATACAAACTGTTTTACAGTTTGTAGACTTTGTGCACTGCATGGGAACATTTAGATAACATTGCTGAGATAAATATTCACACACTCTGACCAGACTAGAGTCACACAACATGTAGTGATCCCATGTAAGAAGTAACATAACAGCAAGAATCAGAATCTTATCCTCTGTGCTGGATATATACACCATTCTCCTTTACACCCGTATAAGAATGCTGGAAACCTAAAAAGTCATTTACTGTAATGACTTACTAGTCACCTGAAGAAGAGACATGTATGCCAAATTAAAAAATTATGTCTTGATTATGTTTATATTAACTTTATAAGAATATTGATTTGGTTTCACATGTGGGATAGAGGTCACTACAGAACAGGCACAAATAGCAATAAGTAAGCATACCAGATATATTTAGTATCTGAGGTTCTTACAATGATGGTTATGAAGAGTTCTATCTTTTGGGATATAACACCAATATCCCTGAAAAGTGAACTCTTCATACCAGATATACTTACTTATTTATGGTTTACTAATGTCACTGGTAACAACTCTGATTTTGTAGTGTTGACTAATGGGATGATTAGTAAATAGCAAAATGGGGAGGATGTGGAAGAAAGGGGTCATCATCTAATTTGTGGTATTACCGTGGCATCTGCTTGAATGAATGGAAAAGAAGGACAAAAAAACCTGTCAGGATAGTTGGTCTCCACACCAAGATTAAAAGCAAGGGCCTTCCAGACATGACGCAGGAGCATTAACCACTCAACCCTGAATTTTGGTGCTGGACCATTGTCTCATTAACAAATGTCATGATGCATGTAAGGGAGTCAACAAGAAACTGCAGCAACAAGATACATAAATAAATGTCAAAAGGAAAATTAAGAGAATATTTCACTGCATGGTACTCAATTCTGTTTTTACAGAAACTTTATCTTCGGTAAGGGTGATCTACTACAGGAGAGCGAGATGGACAGGACACAGAACTAACACAAAGGAAATGAGAATTGACCCAGAATTTTTAGTCATAGAACACAAAGGGAACCTACTACCAGAAAATTAAATTAGGACAACAAAAAATAGTGGCCAAATACACTTAAATTAAAAACCACTGGGTGAGGAACAAGAAATTCTTACCAATATAATTCAGTTGTAGAATGAAGACTGTCTGATCAAAGATCTATGTCAATAACATAACCAATATTAGATTTAATTTTACCGACCACACAACACGTTTTTTATTTACTGTGTCACACTACATGTTTCGACCTCAAGAGGTCATCCTCAGGTGTACGAACACAGTTGCACAATCACACGCAATCACATTTCGTTTTTCCACTTATTTTTGATCCTGTATCCTGTTCAGGTCCACGCTCAAATAATATGTGTCAAGTTCTTCTTATAAAATATATTGTCCTTCGGTGTCCTCATGAACTTTTTAACCAAGTGGTAATATAACTAGTTACAGTGAACTAAAATTTAAAATTTTTAAATTTTAAATTTTAACCTTTAACATTTGTATTTTTTAACTTATATTTTATAAGAAGAACTTGACACATATTATTTGAGCGTGGACCTGAACAGGATACAGGATCAAAAATAAGTGGAAAAACGAAATGTGATTGCGTGTGATTGTGCAACTGTGTTCGTACACCTGAGGATGACCTCTTGAGGTCGAAACATGTAGTGTGACAGTAAATAAAAAACGTGTTGTGTGGTCAATAAAATTAAATCTAATATTCATTAAAATATACAACAGGATGCAAGGAACAATTAAACATAACCAATTTCATACTGTATTCAATAAAATTAAGCTTTTGTTAATAGATTTCTTTAGGACACCCAATGAAATGATACCCTCAGTACATAACTACATACAAGTAATATAATAAACATGCAACCAAATGTTTCTTTACCTTTCATTTGTAGATTTGGCCAAAGATGAGCATGCATAGCCTGAACCACTCTCTTGATGCCAGTTGTCTCGATGAAGTCCTGTTCTTCCTCCCACTCTGGATCCAGTTCAGGATTCAATTCTACAAGCTCAAAACCTTGTTCGACACACCACTCTTGAACTGAAATATTTGTGTTTATATTTAGTTGCAGCCTCTGAAGATATTTTAAACCAATGTGAAGCATTTACACACTCAGAATGCTTGACAACAAACTTTGGAATGTCAAGAATAATGAAACACTTCCACCCAGAATTTAGTTTTGGTAGAAGAATCTGAAGAAATGAGACCCATAGTAATATCTACATGCAGATGGGAAGATACCACCACATTGAAACTTAAGGAAATGAAATGGAAGGGTACCAAATGGACTGGCTCAGACTGAGGACCAGCAATGAATTCTTGTGAACAAGGTACTGAATTTTCGGGTTCCATAAAATGCCAGGAATTTCATGAGCGGTTGAGCAACTACTAGATTCTCAAGAAGGATACTGTTCCACAGAGTTAGTTACTACCAGTGTTTATGCTTATACTTAAAACACTTAATGACAAAATGCAAGAATATTCAATGTTAATATTTGGTTTTATCACACAAAACATTTAGCTTATAAATTTTTACTAATAATCAGTTTCCATGACAGATGTCTATTCGAGCCTACAGGTAACGTGGTAGGTCACTGTGCGAAGTAAGAGAGAGCACTACTAAGTTGCAGCACTGAGAATTAACATCTAGTGGGTGGAGGGGAACCTCTGGTCACCACAAGCACTCATATCACTACTAGGCCCACTGAGCACCATATTTTGATGATAACTTACACAAACTGACAAGCCCATGAATGATACATAATGAATGATACTCATGACTCTTTCATTTTGGGTGCTTTACTATGGACGAACAAAGAGATAAATTATATACAACACATTTAAAAATTATAATAAATTATAACACTTTTCTCTCATTGTATGCAATGAAAAGGAACTTGTTTTAATTTAATATAACAGTCTTTTCAAATTGGATCATAAGACTACAGATGTCTTAAGACATAACTTTATGCGAGAAAAGAACTGAACAGATTAAATTAAATCAATCAATCAATTTATTTGTTCCAAGAATCCATATTTGGAGATACAACCTCTAGATATAGAACAAGTCAATTACTACATATTAATATAACATACATATCATACATGAGTCAACAATACTATGAAACTTAATTACCTACAGACTTCATACACATCAATCATACAATACATCACTCCACTTTCAACAATTCAATACCAAAAGAAACCCAACATCCAACATTTTCTTTTATAGATTAAGTGAGGACAAGATATTTGTCATAACATAAAACCATAACACACTCACTTCAGAATTTAAGGGCACTGGAATAAATGAAATGTTTCAACAGAAAGGATTTTAAGTCCCTCTTAAAAAGAGTTAATTTTTTTTTAGTCTTGTCTGCTCAGGGACCTGATATAGCATTGACTGTAAAGTGGCCACTATTATCCAGTGTTTTCATCACACTACTGCTTATGATGAGTGTATCTTGCCTGATATACATGGCATTATAGAGGAGAGGTAGGAGACTAGGAAGAGGAGTTCACTTACTTACTTACTCATGGAGCTGAGCCCTTCTGGAGGAGCTGCCAATTCTGCAGCTACTCAAGAATTTCTCAGCATTTTATGGAACCCAAAGGTTCATTACCGTGTTCACAAGAGCCCTCCACTGGTCACTACCCTGAGCCAGATCCATCCAATCAATACCATCCCATCCTATCTCTCAAGATCCATTTCAATATTGTCCACCCACCAACGCCTTGGTCTTTCCAGTGGTCTCTTTCCTTCTGGCTTTCCAACCAATATCATATACGCATTCCTCTTCTCCCTAATTCGTGCTACATGCCCTGCCCACCTCATCCTCCTTGACTTGCTCAATGTAATTATAATTGAAGAGTACAAGTTATGAAGCTCTTCAATATGCAGCTTTCTCCAACCTCCTGTCATGTCATCCTTCTTCGGTCCAAATATTCGCCTCAACACCCTGTTCTCAAACACCCTCAGTCTATGTTCCTCCCTTAATGTCAGAGACCAAGTTTCACACCCATACAGAACTACAGGCAAAATTATAGTTTTGTATATTCTAATTTTTATGTTTTTGGACAACAGACGAGAAGACAAAAGGTTCTGGACTGAGTATGGTAGTAATCATTACCCGAGTTCAATCGCCTCTTAATTTCCTCCTGAATCAGGCTTTGATCTGTTATTGTTGTTCCTAAATATCTGAACTGTGCCACATTTTCAAAACATCTGTTTCCTTTCTTTATGTCATGATTTTGCCCTTCATTTTGGTGACGAGACAGTAACATATACTTAGTTTTCTCTGTGTTCACTTCTAGACCAACCTCTTTACTTGAGTCAATTAAAGTTTGTGTGTTTTCCTTTATGGTATCTACATTATCACCCAGTAGATTCACATCATCGGCATAGACCAACAGCTGATGTGTCCCATTTAATTTCAGTCCCACCTGGTTTCCCTGGACCTTCCTAATGGCATATTCTAAAGCAAAGTTGAAAATGGGTGGCAATAAAGCATCTCGTTTTAGACCATTCTGAATAGGAAATTTATCAGACAAATGTTTACCTACACAGACTTTACTATACATTTCGTTAAACACATTTTAATCAACCTAACTAGTTTCATGGGTATCCCAAACTCTATCAGAACATTGTACAATACTTCCTTCCTAACCGAATCATAGGCTTTCTTGAAGTCTATGAATAGCTGATGTACTGTCTCATCGTACTCCCATTTTTTCTCAAGTATCTGACGAATGCAAAAGATCTGATCTGTAGTTGATCTGCTACGTCGAAACCCACACTGATGATCCCCAATAATGGATAAAATTTTGTATGAAGTCGATAGCAGGGATATCTTCCAATAATTACTACAGTCAGTTTTATCACCTTTCTTGTGAACTGGTACAATAATAGACTCCTTCCACTGATCAGGCAATTTTTCATTATGCCAAATAGAAGTAATTAGATTGTGGATCTTAGAATGTAATATTTCACCTAGAGGAGTTCACACTCTAATTAAAATGTTCTGTTACCTGTTACTCTACAGACTCCTACTGATGGGCTTTCATGGCACCTTTCACACAAAAGTATTTGCACTTCTGGCTCAAACTCTTTCAGGAAGGAAAGCCAACTCTCCACAGCATTTAACCCATCATTCTACAATTAAAGAGAAATAAGAACAATCAAATGGGCTTTAGGACCAGAAAGGACAGAAGTAATAGAAATTATTCACTTTGTCAACTCTTTAGGGTCTTCAATTCATTCTCCTTACAGGTTACCATATCAAAGACCAATAAGTTGAGTACATAAGATTAATATCCATTGATGACCCCAGACTTCAAACATGTTTGCAGTGAAAAGTACACAAATACACTAAATGGACTTCATCAGATGACTTTAAGTTCAGTAAGTGTATTCTCATAATTCAGTAGGATACTCTTTTACTGTGAATCTGAATTGGTAATGACTATAAAATCTTAAGATGGAATGCAGTGTTACTTTGTATCATTATTTTATTTATAACTTAATACAACTATGCAGTAAGAATTTAGAATTCTTCTTTATTTGTATAAATATCTCTAGTCCCTTAGAAATTACTATATACATACTTATTTTGCACAATGTTCCCCACACATTTTCTGGATCGCACACTGACGGTTGAAGGCATTTCAAAATTACAACATTTACAAAATTCTGAACATTTTTCACACAGCTGTTTATTCATAAATACCCTGTTACTATAAATTCTGAACACCTTTCGCATACCTAAGTACACTTCCATTCATAAATACCTTGTTACTATCAAAATGTATAACAACTGCTTCAACAGACACAGCAAACTCCTCACTACCCAAAGTTTTCTTTTCTACAGAGCATAAATTGACATCCGTCGTGTAATATTTATTATCAATATGCCACGGATAGGCACTGATTCCATCTTCCAGCTTCGTAGGCTCGGGAAGTTCATCAACGCCCAATATCACTGAAATAACCCAAACAATCATTAATAGTGCACTCAAAATGTACTTAATTAAATAACACCCATAAATCGGTCGGCATGCCAGAACTCGGATAATTACATTTGATTATATCCTGAGGGTGGGTACTTGTACAGCTGGCCACTACAGCACAAGGCTTTGGTTCCATATTTTAAATATTGAATATACAATTAATGTCTAAATTAAAAAGCCTGTTCAATAACTTTCTTCGATCACTTCACCAGACATATGACGCATATGACCGCATATTTTCTGTCACTTGTTTCCAACCCTGATTGACCCTGATGGTGCAGGATGGGAATCCAGTTTCGTCACGAAATGTATAACCAACGAAGCATTTCTTGAATGCCTCTGTAGCCTCATGAACTCATGAAGAATTCGTGGTGTTCCGAGCACATATCGATTAGTGACAGTTGTGTAAGATTTATCGCTCTCACGGCGAATATTAGTAACAACTTCTTGCAAAATGAAAATGTTTCGTTTATCCACATGCACCTTCTATTGAATCTAACCTAACACGTTACACGAGTATAGCTTTGCACACTCCTGTGAACTCTGTAAAACGGGTTAATCAGTGATGATACGTAATTCTAACGTATCGTGCATTCAATATAAATTTATATACAATGGATTTTGTGCAATTTATTCAAATTCAGTATAGGTACTTTTAACCAGAACAATATGACAACGGTCATGAAATACCCTTAAACCAAACTAAAACATCGTTACTGCCGGTTACTGCTTTTTGAAGGCCCCGTGCTTCCGTTCCTTTTAAAAATGCACAAGCTAAATTCATTCCGTCCCATGATTTATAATAATACTGATCATTTATACACATTATTGCGCTGATAGAAATAGCATTATTGCTGTGTAGGTTGGTTTTCCTCAATAGGAGAGGAATTCACAAGATCTCGAGTTTGATAACTGTGATGAATATTGCAGCTGTTTAATTTCTGGATGATCACAGTTTGCAGTTATTAAATATAGTGGTTCCCTTGCTACTTTTTATTAAAATCTTATTTAAGGGTGTTTGGTTTAATTATGTGCTTTGTGAACCATTACAGTATCAGATTTCTATGGTAGATAATCGTCATGTAACTGTGGCGCCGGAATTACAGTTTGTGGCGTCCCCCAAAGAAATCAGTTTGTGGAGGTTTCTATCAGTAACAACAAATTTAGGTTACGACAATTCTATTTGGTTGTTCTTGTGTTTATAATAACTTAAAATACAAACTAACTCTCCACAATTTTAGAGAAGCAAATGTTTCAGTAAAATTTATGGATTATATATCTATTTTGTGGTGGCTCTGGTGCAACTGCCTCAGTCTCTCCCCCTTACATCCGGCCCTGTATATACATTATTGTATAAAATGTGTTTCTGTCCCAGATAACTTTAATCCGACCGCGTGAATACTGAAATCCAATTGCATCCCGAATCTTCAACAGAACTTCACAGTATGATGCATAATTCACATCTTCATCATGCTTTTGAAAATGGGCTAACAGTACTTCCTGAGAATCCCAAAACACAGGAAGCATAATCTTCCCAGCTGATGGAGCACTCATAACTTTCAATTTTTTGGTTGAAGGGGAACTGGGATGTTTCCATTGCATTGAAGCACACTTTGATTCAGGTTGGTATTGATGCACCCGTGATTCATCCCCAGTAACAACCCTGTTAAGCATATATTCTCCTTCATCTGCAAACTGTAAAAGATGTTCCAAGAACAGACCCATTCGGTTCATCATTTTTTCTAAATCCTTCAGTTCTCTGGGAACTGACCATGTGCACAGTTTCTAGAACACCAAACGACCATGCGTTATGCTGTATGCTAAACAATGGGAACACCCTAGTGCAGTTGCTACACCATATCGTTATCCTCCTTTATCCTCCTGTTAGCTCAAATCAACCCTTCTACCCACTGTACAGTAGCTCCTGTCACAGTCTCACCAGGGTGACCTGGTCAGGCATCACCTGTGACTTTCGAATGAACTTGAATTTCTCAACCCATTTATGAACTGCTTTACATGACAAACAATTCCCACCATAAACAGGAAACATTTCTTTATGAGTATCCTTTGCATTGAGTCCTTTTACATACAAATACAGACAACAGAATTATACTCTTTGGTAGTACACTCTCAAGCATGTTCACCCCTTTGACCACTGAAACAAGGCTCTGAACAAGTGCATGCTCCTCTGCTACCTAGACTGTAATGAAGCTGGACTGTGTGGTTACCTAGTGATACACACAGAGATCCTATTACATCCATTACAGCTGTTTACTTCCATTTGTGACCTATTTACTGATATAAGAATGTAATACTTTCATTTTGTAAACACAAAACACAAGTTTATGTATATTTATATTATTCAGTATTCCAGATATAAGAAATGGTGATATGTGATATAAATATAAACTTAACCTACTCTGCTCAATACCCATGAAAATACCCCACATGAAATTTTAATAGTGATCAAATTTCTCTGGTTTATCCAACATCCATAGGGGGCAATTTTGAAATAAAGTAGGTGTATCCTATAATTATGTTATACAGTTCTTCTCTATAGTCATGATCTTCAAGAGAAGTAGATGGTTTCTGGTGTTTATGTTATCTCCTGAACTGTACAGTGTAAACTTTGGATCCCTTTTCCCTGATATAATACTTCATATCTGTTTAATGCACTTGCAAGCAACAACAATATCTGGAGTGTGTCCAGGTGTATTGGCTCTTTCATCCAGATTGTAAATTGTGTCTGGACTAGAATCCAGAATTCCAGTCAAATTTTTGAACAGAAAGTGACACACAGCAACTATTTAAATGTATACCCTTGCATCCACTGATTTTCTCAGGCTAATTCACACTGACACCTCATGAAATCTAATGGTAAAAGGTAAAGGTAAAGCTATCCCTGTAACAGGCTGTCAAGGCTCCCACATTTTCTAGACAGTGAGCTAACAGGTGGAAGTAAGGTTGTCAGCCTTATGCACCAGCCACTCTTTACCCCTCAGGAAGATTCTGGGCACTCATTTCTGTTAGAGGCTGAGTCGACCCAAGGGCAGCTGGAAGCATTAAGTAAATTGAAAAACTCCACCTCATCAGGATTTGAAACCCGTGACCTTCTGGCTTGAAGCATAGTGACTGAACCAACTACGCTACCACTAATATCACCGTTATTCAGCTTGATTCTTCTGCCATGAATTAGGAGGTTTTCTATCTGCTAGTGCACAGTCATGAACCAGATGCATAAGATCATGTCAAGAAACACCATAATCCATTCCTGATGCAGTTGCAGTTCATTAGTATTTTGCTCATTCATTTTCTTCTTCTGAAGACATGATTAATGCACAATTAAGCATGGATTTGTATACACCATCACACAATACACAGTTGCATTCCTTTCCATGTCACTGAGGCAGTGTTACTTTTTTCTTTTTCTTGGGATCTTGACACCTTACTTCAGGGCAACAGAAAAAAAGATAAAACTGAAAACATCTATCTTCTTATCTAATATGTATCAGTAACTTGTGAATGGTACAGGGCCAAAATGAGTCCAATGTGCAAAACATGCTGGAATTCAAAACTATTTTTATAACCTCCTCAGTATTATGGCAAAGATCAATGCAGTGTTTTGGCTGTAAACCTTCAGGTAGTGTAATAAAATGTTTTATAGCAAATGAAAACGTGCCAATCTGTTTATTATATCACACTATATTTTTCGGTTTCTTTTGAGCAGCATCACATGTGCATGAATAAAAACAATAAATATAATACGTTTATTCTGAATTATACACACACACATACAGGGGATAGACAAAATAATGGAAACACTGCAGATACTGTACACATTTCTTTATTAATATGGTGCTGGACCAGCTTTTGCCATAAATATAGCCATAGTTCTTTTTGGAATGGACTCGTACAAGTTTTGAACAGTCTGTAGTAGAATTTTATATCATTCTTCTTGAAGAACACCTTCAAGTTGCTATAGAGATGTTGGAGGTGGGAAACTGTTCCTCACTGTAGTCTCCAAGACTGACAAGAGTGGTTCGATGATGTTCAAATCTGGTGATTGTGCTGGCCAGGGAAGATGTTGAAGTTCATCTTCATGCTCTTCAAACCATGACTGAACAGTTCCAGCTGTGTGAATGAGGGCATTGTCATCTTGGAAAACTGCATCATTATTCAGAAATAACATCTGGATCATGGGATGTTCCTGATTAACCAACCCGTCCACATACTCCCTTGCAGTAATTTGGCCATGATGGGTAATAATGCCATCAACAGACTACTGTACCAAGATACTGCTGCCCAAACCTTCACAGACTCTCCATGTTTCACTATTGCAACTGAACCAGACATTTGGGATTGTGCGCTTCCTTGGGCTTTCTCCAAATGTAAATCTCTTTTAGTGTCGATTAAATTTTAGTCTCACATGCAAAACTATGTTCTATAGAATTTATTAAAAGTTATTCACTTCAAAAGTTTGAAAGTCCATTCCTACATGATCGACCAATGTGATCATCATCAGGTGTTAAAATTACCGGATGAGGAAACTGCCTAGATGATTGTAGTGTGCTAAGTTGTATTAATTTTTTTAGAGGGGGGTTAAGTGATTGTAGATTTTAATTTAAATTGTGTTTATAGTTGTTATAAAATGTATGAACTTGATATACATATTTGTGTATCTTCCTGTTATTCTATATTTCTGTATCACTGTGTTCTAATTTCTTACATAGACTGAATATTTTTTCTTTCCTCCTCTTTGCTCCACTTTGGAGCACAGGGCTGATTTCTGTTTCACTGATCATTTTTACAGACAGCAGGACACCTTGGATTGGTGATCAGCTTGTCACAAGGACTCTACTTAAACATAGGACAACACAAACACAGAATGAATGTATACACGCACCAAACATCTATGCCTTGTGTGGTATTTGAACCCACAATCTCAGCTTCCAAGCAAGCGAAGACAGTACGTGCCTCAGACCGCTCAGTTACCATGACCGGCAGACTGAATATACTAGTTGTAATTTTTGTTCTTACTTTTTTATGATGTAATGGAGAATGTTTTGTGTAGTGTGTTGAGTTCTTGCGCAATCCAAAAAATATTGCTGTAAAGTAGTATTCACTTGTGTGGCATATTTTTCCTATGTATATGCTGTTGACACTTCTTTAAGACAGTATGAATTTGTATTATTAAAAATAAGACAGCTTAAAGACCCTTACCTGGCTGGCTTATAAACAAAAAATTTGCTGCAGAAAATAAATCTTCCAACGGTGGTAAAATTATGATCACCTATTTAATGCAGGCTGGTAAATCTAAATGATTTTATTTCCAAAATATCCCCACCACAAACAATAACAAGTAATAGAAGTAGGCCATGGTACAATGTGGTCTGAGGTACAAACCACTCCCCTACATGCAGCATATTATTCATTTTCTCATTCAGAGGACTGTGACCAACACTTCAGCAATTTCTTCATTTTATTCTATGTTTTTCTCCTTTTGAAAAATTCCTGATCTACATTTTGTATGAATTTTCAAGGGTGCCCTCCACAGTCTCCTGTCTTTGGAATTCAATTTGCCACCTGTAAGCGCAAATATGACTTCCATGTTCTTATATCTTCATTTACAATGGGGAGTATGATAGTGTGGGAACCGCCTACATTAAACCAAGTGTTGCAATGACAATGCACTTATTGTGCAATCATTGCTAGGAATTATTCACTGCTATGTAACGACTGAAAATCGTGTCTCCAGATAAGTAACGCAGTAACCAAACAGGAGAAACTACAAAGTTGGAGCGAGACTACTTAAGGAAGAATCAGTATCAGAGAGTGAGATCTTCTTTACACAACTTACTAGCAACCAGCGACCTTTAATTCTTCAAACAGAAGTTCAACTGTATATTCTGTACAACTACAATAGCTATTTATATAACGGTTTAATAAGTGGCTGTCTCTACATACACAGACATCCCACAATTGCAAATACTTTGGAGTAGAAAGGTTTAAACAAGGCAATAAATGGAATGAATACATACACATGAACTTTGTATGCTCCAAAATGTTGCTATTCTACATTCAGTATGCTTACTATGCTCATTTATATTAATTACATGGACAGACCAAATATGGGAAGATATACAAAAAGAGAGTAAGGAAATACTGAAGGGACACAGATACAAGAGTAATGCTTACAGGAGGGTACGGAAAAATACAGAAAGTTCTGTTGCACACCGCGGTGGAAATGTCAATGGATGATGGTTTGATGATGTTCACTTTGGTTCATCCTGCCCTTGGAGCTATCCAACCTGAACTTTACTTGGCACACTAAATGAGAGATGACAGCATTTCCTATTGTAGTTTAAGGTGTTCTCACAGTCTTTTATCCTCTCTGAAAGAAACACAGATATCAGTTTTCATCTGTAACGATCTATCAGAAGATGGAGGCAGGTTCCTCCAGAATGTTGGTAAGCTACAGATCTAGTGTCATAACCAGGACACCATGAAAAATCTCATCCAAGATACCTTCTGTAACAATAAAAAGTCTAATCTATAGCGACAATAAAAACCAACTCCCATGAGACAGGCTTCCAGGGAAACTTACCTTTCTGGTTATTTAAATACCCTTCCAAGGGCTGAAAGTTAAAGGATGGAAAGCCCAAGGAATACTTATAAGGCAGTAATAAAAACAGAATAACAACATCAGTTTTAGTTCCATCATTGTATATTTCCCTGTAAGAAGAATACAGTTCACTTATACACACATCTTTCAGTGAAGACTTCAGATGCCATGAAACACTAAATAAATTATGGATTTCCCATAAAGTCAACATAAGAGTTAAAACAGTACTTCCATAAAAAGAAACGAACATTTCATATTCACTTATTTGCAACATACATCTAAATGTTAATATTTTTCAATATGTCATAATGCTACAGTTTCTTTACTATTCCATCTAAATACTAGCACGATAAAACATGAACCCTTTCACTGCTAAATCCATGTACACTCATTTCCTAATTAGGGTGTCTGTCTAATCACAAGTACTGGTGCATTATATGCTTTGATTTCTACAATCAGGATCAAAGAATGAAGATGCTGAGTCAGTAGAGCTTTTGGGCTAAGATCTAAAAGCAAAAGCATTCATTCCATGTGTGTATATACAGTAAAACTTGGTTATAGCAACATCGGTTTCTGCGACACCTTGTCTATTGTGTCAAATATTCAATGGTACGAACTAATTCCTCATAAAGCAACTGTTTTTATACCTTGCTTAGTACGACATGCACAAATGCATCAACCTCGTATGTAACGTCATTTTCATTCCTGAATTTCTCTGATATGGTGGGAAAGTTCGATGTGTCTGCCCACCCTCACTTTCTCTACTTGCTGACGTGACTGTCCTGGAAGAATACGACCGCGGGCTGCAAGAGGAGCGTGGGTTTTATGCGAAAACAAGGGTGTGGGGTGGTACTGCGTGAATAGTGCAAGAGGACGCGGCAGGTTGTTAACTGCATTCCTTTCCTAGAATCTCGTCTAACAGGACCTCACATTGTCTACTTACCCTATAGTGTTCCTGCCTAAACCCAGAGAAGTGCAGTAGCGAAAACATGGCAATGAAAAGGAAAGTTTTAAGCATTGAAGAGAAAGTTAAAGTGATTCGTGAAATAGAAAATGGAAGGAAAAAAGCTGATGTATGCCGCGAATTTGGTTTGGTGAATTCTACAGTACAAACGATATGGAGAATCCATATTAATTCCACGTTAATGTTACGTTAGTCTGTACTTAACTACGTATTTCACTAAAAAATGCAACATTTTAACTCGGTTTTTGGTAGATTTTTACGTGACTAACATAAGGCTACTGTGGAAGTGCCCATTTCGGTTACGACATTCTTTTTTACCACGACACTATTTTTAGGTCCCTTTGATGACGTTATAACCAAGTTCTACTGTATATATAAAACCAGGCAATATGATTAGTACTTGAAAATGAAGGCAGTATAAAATATAAGGTTAATGAATTGTAATCCCATTTTCTATCTGTGTCATGTTGTTGATAATCGCTTGTCTTCTCTCTATATAAATTGCTTTCAGAATTAAAAAGGAACTAAGGGACAGTAAACCCACAACGAGCAAGAATACAGAGTTCCAGCCATACGTATCTGACATGAATCCAATCAGTGGGCCTTGGATTACAGCTCCCATGCTGCCAAAGCCATTTACAAGTCCAGCAACTGCTGCACCAACATTACCACCACCCTTCTCACCAATCTTCACTGCCACTGAACCACCAAGAAGTGCATCTAATCCACACACACATGCACCACCTACACTCAGCATAATGGAATTGTAGGTCATACCCCATGAAGCAGTGAACTTGAAAATGAGGAAACCAATTGTTCCAGCAACAGTTGCAAGTAATGTAAGCACAAGGGAATTGTAACGGTCAGCTGCCATTCCAAGGAACACACTACCTAAAATGCCACCAACATCAAAAAGGGACACCAGTAATCCTGTATTAGCTGCTGAGTAATTCAGTTCCTTCATCAAATAAACAGGAAACCACAGATAAATAAAATAGCGCACTACCTTGTTGCAAAACATAGCCACTGCCAACTCCAATACCATAGGCAAACGCCATAATGCAATAAATGAATTAATCTTATTAGATGAGGCTATTTTTTCTTCTACTGGCTCTTTCCCTGGTATTATAGTTTTATACTCCCTGGGCATTTTTAACATCAGCCATGCTAATGCAGCTAGTATCATTACAACCACAGACAGGGGAAGGTACACAAATCGCCAGCCATATTCACTATAAAGGTAAGCTGCCAGTCCCGAAGCAATAATGCTCCCACCAAAGGCAGATGTATTTATCAAGCCAAACACAGAATTAAGTTGATAATCAGAAAACCAAGCCGATACACATTTGCAACAAGCAGGCCATACTGGTCCTTGAGCAGCTCCATTAATGAAGATCAATACCAAGAAAATTCCAAAATTATCCCAGGATCCAAAAGAAAACATGCTGATTCCAGCGATGCCTAGGCATATTGTCACAGTATGACGGGGTCCCATGTGATCAGCTACTGACCCTAGTACCATCTGTGCTAAGGAATATGGCAGCAACATTGCTGTATCAAGAAAACCAAGTTGGACCTGGCTGAACCCTAGTTCTTCTTTCATTCCAACTTTTATTGCTCCCAGGGGTTTGCGGACCAGGTATGTTGCTCCATATAGCACCCACACACATATGAAAATAAATGCTTGTAGCACTTTCAGTCGGGCCATTATGGGCAATTACAAAAGAACGTTTCAGCAATTAGCAGTTTATGATCTGAAGTCAGTGTGTGCTTCCATACAGTCCCATTAAAACTCCTTGAATTACCACATCCGGTAAATGACTGTTTTCTTCTATTTGCATATAAGGGTCCTTCTTATAAATATATATTGGCTGATGTTCCATTACTTTCTCTTCAGCAGCAAAATCCATGCACCTGGGGAGAAAATGAGTTATGATGTATAAATGAAAATACACATTTTTAAATCTCAGTAGCATGGTATTGAAGCTGAATATAACACTTCTTGATCCAATGGTTTATTCTTGGTTTACTTTACAATGTATTTTAATAGTACTCTAAAGTATATTATCAAATATTAAGGAGATTGTGTGATGAATTAGAATGGATGTGGAAGAAAGCACTCATGATATTTTTAAGGTTCCCTCCCAGCATTTTGCTGGAGGGACCACAAAAAAACTGAAAAACCTCAGTCAAGATATTTGGTCTCAATTTCAAGATCTGAATCCAAGGTTTATGAAGCAGGAATGACAGCCTCTATATACTGATGTTATTCTCAATTTAATGGTCCACTGATACTGGTATTATGATAAACTTTTAAATAGGGGAACAGTTTTAATTACAGCTTTCCTCTATGGTATTTGTCTCTTACATTTACTTTCTGCAGAATTTCTTGAAACAGCAAACTGATGTTGTAGTATCTCATGCATCTGGCAGAAGTGTTCTGTCCATTATCAATGACAGAACTAATATTAATGTTAAGAAAGTCGTCTTCTGGGTTTAGGCGCCGTGTATTCTTCGTTTTGGCCGACGTTTCAGAGGAACGGAGAGCCGTTCACCTGCTCTGAAGATGGAGGCGATACGTTCCTCCAAAACGTCGGCCAAAACGAAGAACACACGGCGCCTAAACCCAGAAGACGACTTTCTTCATAGTCATCGCCGTGCAAACCTCAAAACTTACATAATATTAATGTTGTTTGCAACAATGTATCACTGTCATCTTGTCCACCTGTTGTGGACTCAAATCATCTCCTCTTGAATGGTCTTAAGTATCCTTTCCCATAGACTAATATATATAAAAGATGTGTGGATCACTCAGAGAACACAGAAAAGAAAATAAGTAACTATTACAACTGAAGGCTGTTCTAGTTGTCCATGTATTAATTTCCTGTATCTATTTCAGTGATTAAAATAACAATGGCTCATGGAAGTCAATGTGAAATTGAAAATATTTGTTACAGGCCATCTAATTCCATAGAAAGTCATTCCTTACTAAAAATTAATGTCTGGAAGAGATTTATTTACACAAAAGGGAAATTTGGAGGACTAGTATAAGGAATTGTGACTTAATTCACATATATTTAGGCAATATCACTATTTTTTGTGATACTCAGGCCATCAACAAACATGTCACAATAACAAATCTAGCTGTTTACATTGGTTCTATTTAAGAAACAACCAGATAGGTTTATTTTTAAATATCTGATGTGTTGATGACCAGAGTATCACAAATCGTACTTGGTTCAAGAAGCCAAAGAGAAGAATTTACACATGGAAGGCACCTGGGGATTGGAAGAGGCATCAGCTGGACTACATCCTTGTGAAACATCGATTCAGAAACAGTGTGAAGGATGTGAAGACGCTTCCTGGGGCAGACATTGACTCTGACCACAACTTGCTGGTTGCCAAGTTCCGAACCAGGTTGAAGAAAATTATAGGATTTCGAAAGCGCAGACCCAGATGGGATTTGGAGAAGTTATATGCTCAAAGACAAAGCGTGCAAGAGACTCTAGAAGAGAAACTCGGTGCAATTGAAGGTGAAAGCGGAAATGCTGAAGCGCAGTGGAACGATATAAAAGAATGCATGTTAGATACTATCAGTGATTTGGTAGGTAAAGTTGAGAAGATAGCAAGAAAACCATGGGTTACACAGGAGATGATGAGTAAAATGGAGGAGCGAAGGAAATGGAAGAATGTCAACAATGAAGAAGGCAGGAGGAAATACAGGAGACTGAGGAATGAATTGAAAAGAGCCACGGACAGGGCCAAAAAGGAATATCTTGAGAAGATATGTAATGAGATTATGGAATTTCAAAGAACAGGCCGTTATGATTTGATGTACATGAAGACAAAAGAACTAGGATGGAAAGAGAATCATGGGATTCAAAATGTTGGCATCGAAGACTCCCAGGGGAATAGAATAGTAGATCAGAGGCAAGTGCTGAAAATTTGGGAAAATTATATTTCAGAACTATATGATCGACCTAATCGGCCAGAAACCTTAGAAGTTGAACCGGAAGAAGAAGTAGATACAGACGAGAAAGGACCATATATTTTACAAAGTGAGGTGGAAAAAGCTATCAAGGAAATGAGGAAGGGAAAGGCTACAGGAGATGATGATGTACCTGGAGATGTGCTCAAGTTACTGGGAGAAGGTGGTTTGAAAACACTGACAAAACTAATGAACACCATATATGAAAGTGGAGAGTGGCCCAAGGACTTTACAGAAGTTACAATGATTGCCTTAAAGAAAAAGACAAAAGCTACAAAATGCAGCGACCATCGCACAATAAGTCTTATTGCACATACAGCAAAGATAATAGCAAAGATACTTAAAAGAAGAATTGAAAGGAAAATAGAGGATGTACTTGGAGAAGATCAGTTTGGATTTAGAAGAGGAAAAGGAACCAGGGATGCAATTGGGATGATGAGAATTATAGCGGAACGAACTTTGGAGATAGATGAAGAACTGTGTGTTTGCTTCATAGACTGGCAGAAGGCATTTGACCGGGTAAACTGGACCAAATTAATGCAGATCCTGAAAGAAACAGGTATCGATTGGCATGAAAGAAGATTGATTAGCAAATTGTACATGGATCAGAAAGTTAGAGTACGACTGGACAGGGGGGAGACAGGAAGTGTGCAGATTGGAAGAGGAGTTCGACAAGGATGCTGTTTATCACCAATTCTGTTCAACTTGTACAGCGAATGCCTTACCAAGGAAGCTCTGGATGGGCTCGGTGACTTCAAAGTAGGAGGGCAAATTATTCAAACTGTGAAATATGCAGATGACCTTGTGTTAATGGCTAAGGAAGAAACTGTGCTACAGGGCATGATTGATAGACTAATTGAAATTGGAAGGTGCTATGGCATGGAAATGAATGTGGAGAAAACAAAAGTAATGAAAATTTCGAGACAACCAACCCCAGTCACAATAAAGATAGACCAAAAACAAGTGGAGAATGTGAAATGTTTTAAATATTTGGGTAGCTTGTTAACAGATGATGGAAGGTGTACTTGTGAAATTAAATCCAGGATTGCCATGGCAAAAGCTGCATTTAGCAAGAAGAAGAATCTTTTTACCAGCAAATTGGACTTAAATTTGAGGAAGAAACTAGTGAAATGCTACATTTGGAGCATAGCTCTGTATGGGGCTGAAACATGGACACTTAGGGCAGTAGATCAGAAACATCTGGAAAGTTTCGAAATGTGGTGTTGGAGAAGAATGGAGATCAGTTGGACCGATTATGTGAGAAATGAAGAAGTGTTAATTAGAGTCAGTGAGCAGAGGAATATCCTACATGAAATAAGAAAACGGAAGGCTAATTGGATTGGTCATGTTTTACGCAGAAACTGCCTTCTAAAAGAAGCTATCGAAGGAAAGATAGATGGGCGGATAGAAGTGACAAGAAGACGAGGAAGAAGACGTAAGAAGATGCTGGATGACCTTGGGGACAGAAGAGGATACTGTCATTTGAAGGAGAAAGCTCTAGATCACATTAAGTGGAGGAACTGTTTTGAAAGAGACTGTGGACCTGTCGTCTTGACAGATTACTGATGATGATGATGATGAACAGGAAGCAAACAATAAAGAATATCACTATTATTCCAGAACAACATACAGGCACTACCCTACTAATTAAGGAGCTGATTCTACGCATTGTATTAAGAAAGTAATTTTGTCAAAGCACTAAGGATATCAACCATACCAGTAAAAAAATTATATATATTGTCATGTGTTGTTGTATGACGCGACAAATAACTTCATGCTGGTCTTGGGTCTAGCGAATTTATCGCACACTCGCTCTTACACTTACATAATTAACAACTTCCATTCACTAGATACAACTCAACATCTAATACTGCTCATAACTCATACTCAATATTGGCTGAATAGTGTTCGCTGCTCCTTATATAGGCTCAGCACAGACTACATAGAGAACACATTGCTGCCTGGCAACGGATATCAGATATTGTTGTCAGGTGTGTCTACCCACACACTGACTAGCAACAGACGCCCTACTTTTGCATGACATCACAGTCTAGCGGGCAGGAGTATTTACCAAGCGTCGCACAGCAACGGAATGAGTGGGGGTATGTGATGTCACTCGCACTTCCTGTTGCGCCATCCAAGCGTTCACAGAGTTGTTGCCTAGCAACATGCCGATAAAATCCACAACTCTCATGTTGCGCGTGTGCCCTGAGGCCTCTGTGGCTCAACAGTTCCTGCATAGAGCTAATACGCCACATTATATAATATATAAAAATATATAATTATATATAATGTAATGTGAATACCCAAACCATCATTTCCTAGGCAACGATCCACATTCCCGCTATAGCACTACAATCGGAATGCATCCATTCCTAGGCAACGGAAGCAATGCAATACTGGAATTCTAACAATGAGTCTCCACAGTTACAATGAATTGTTAGAAGCGTTATGTGACAACGGGAAAACCAACTGTAGAGAAAGGTGTTTGCTAAGCGGTCCAAACAATGCCTATATAAGGGGGCTGAACGTACCAGTTATGAAGAGTAACCCATTTGGAGGCGGGGTCGAATACCTCCAGTGTGACAATGCGAGTCGTAGGAGGCAACAGAAAGGGAAGTCTTGAATCTGAGATAGTAAAATATTGTGATGTGGATGGTGTAGCGGGAGGTGGGGGTCATGTGAACTCTGTGATCTTGCGAGCGATGTCACATACCCCCACTCCATCCGTGTGCAATGCTCGGTAGACACCCCTTTCCCCGCGGTGACGTAACACGGGATGCCGCATTTGCTATATAGCTGTAAACAATTCCTGACAGCATTGCTAGGCTGTCGGTAAACACAACGGTACTAAACAGCGGTACCTATTACATAACTGTTTTCTGTGTTGTCCGTAATGAGGCTAAATAAGGAGCAGCGAACACTA